TGATTAACGTTATAATGATATGTTGTTATGGAGGATCGTTGCTATAGAAAGATCCGTAAGAAAATTGACATACATGTTTGGTAAGATGTATTTTATGTTTATTCAATATTATAGGGCGTACAATTCATACATAGCAAACACATGGTATTAGTAATACAAGAGATATTAATGCATGGATAAGCATGATTTAAAACATAAATGTTCTTAAGGCCGTAACATTTAGCAACCAAAAACTATTTAATCTAACAAGTGCTCTCCGAACTAAGCTACATAGTCTCCGGTCACCAGGCTCACCAACCAATCTGAATTTTTTTTTAAATTTCTACCGAATATATCAAAACAAACCATAATAACTGATGATTTCAACCAATGAGTTTCCCTATATATGACATAGCGCTTGGGTAGGGTGGGCTATTTCGATCCATCAAATCTTTGAGCAGGGGCCTAGTATCGTATTTGATGATTGGCGTTGCGATACGTTATGTTTCAATGACTGCCTTCTCAATCGTTGAAAGACTGAGCGAGAACGGTAAGGGCACACAAACAAAGAAATAATCTCAACATATAACTGATCATAATATTACTAGTCCCAAATTACTAATATAACATTACTATTCAGTATTATTTTTATACAATCTGTCAAACAATTTGTAATATATAAAAAAATACTATGGAATATAGATGTAAAGTAAAATGGGAAGGCACCTAGATGGAAACAAGAGAAGTAGTATGGGTGATCACACCATGACACTTACTATGCTTCACAAAACTGACGAATATTGTTATAGAGAAGTCTGATTGGTTGATTAACGAGATACATTGTATAGGAGCAAAAGTGAAGTTGACATGCAGAGACATGGAGACAGAAAAGGTGACATATACAGCAGAAGCATTGACAGACAAGAATGGAAAATACACAATAGAAGCATCAGGTGACCATGAGAAAGAACTTTGTGATGTAGGTGTTGTGCAAAGCCCAAGAGAGGATTGCAAGGACCCTGCAATTGGATTTGAGAACTCAAGAGTTGTGTGCAGTAACAATGTTGGTATGCATAATCCAACTCGCTACGCGAATCCACTATTCTTCATGAAGAAAGAGACTTTGCCTGATTGCAAGGATGTTCTTGATGAGCTTGGTTTATTCCCACTTGAGTTTTAAATTACAAAGTTTTTTAGACCAAAACACACATTACTATTAGCTTTTGCCCTTTTTGTTGAATCGAATTCTCCTGTATGTGTAACTCACCATGCATGAACAACAAAGTTCAATAATTGGTAATGAATAAGGAATTTTCCATAACTAGTTATGCTTTTCATTTGCTCTTTATGTTTGAAAGTTGTGATGTAAGTTGACCGAAGGGGACCAACGTTTCTACTCCTTCACCAAGGAATAGTTAGAGGGATGTCAAGAACGGTGGGAGATCATAGAAAATTGACCTATTCATAGACTGATTCTACAGGATATAACTCCTTTATTTATTAAATCATAATTCATGCAGTCATTAATCAATCATGTAAGGTGGAGAGAATAGGGAAATCAAAGAAGTAAATTACATGAAATCAACCATGTTCTTAAATAGTGAATGCATCACTAAGGACTTTTAACATCTCTCAATTTGGAGAATCAACCGTGAACAAGAGTTTTATCCTTGATTTATTGACGGTCTTAAAATTTAGCTGAATTCATAGAGCTTGATTGCAACCATATTGTCTTATAATGTACCAGCAAACATTCCAATCAATGTTATTAATAAGAAAACATTTTCATTAGTCTCTATCATCAGTCAACACAAACGATCACCATCACTAGCTAGTACCATTAGCAATAGTTTTAATAATTTTTAAGAGCATTATATTAATATAATAGTAGATTAATTAGTAAATAGATATTAATTTCTTTTATACATTTATATATTGGAAAAACAAGTTGCCTTAATTATTTAGTATTCAAATTGTTGAAGAGAAAAATATTAAAAACATTTCAAAACTTGGTACAAATTATTAGTTTCATTCTGAAGTTATTGAATACTTAAAACTAACCCTTTACTTAACTATCTGAATCTAAATACACCCCAATCTTACAATATTAGTGTACTACACCCTAAATACTCATCAAATTTAGGGATATTTTCAATACTTCTCTAGATTTTTACTAAGAACATCATGCTCCTATAAGAATTTGAGACTATTTGTTATTTTACGTGACATATTAGGAGTGTATCTAAATTTACTTAGTCAAGTAGATGATTGTTTTTAAGATTGACAATAGTTCGATGAGAAACTAGTAATTTGCGTCAAGTTTGAAATATTATGTTTATTGCATATCTTATTATTCAGATGTGTATTCTGATTCAGATTCGACGGTGGATGTATTTCACACATTTTGAAACTTGAAGGACTAAACCAAACATTTTAGAGGGGTATTTTCATGGCATTTTGCTATTAAAACCCGATAAACCCTCACAGAGCTAGCTAGGGTTTTGTTGAAACGAAAATGGCGTCTCGCTCTTTGCTCAATGCATTCAAACGCTCCTGCAACTCATTTTCTCTCTCTACAACTCCGAGCACTTACTCACTCCACCTTCTCCGACCACTTCATGCCGTTGCGGCCAACCTACGAAATGTCTCTCCGGCACCGACGCCGTTTTCTCGAGGTTTTGCCACTCGTCAAACGTCGTCGTCACTGAATGATCCAAATCCTAACTGGTCCAATCGACCTCCGAAGGAAACGATTTTGCTTGACGGCTGTGATTTTGAGCACTGGCTTGTTGTGATGGAGAAGCCTGAAGGTGATCCTACCAGAGATGAAATTATTGATAGCTACATCAAAACACTTGCTACGATTGTTGGAAGGTTTGGCTCATTTCTCTGCATTTTTAGCTTCTTCTCGTGTTTCAGCTCCATTTTATTAAAACCTAATTATAATTGCATACTGTTTTATTACTTTTGGTGATATGATGTTTAGTTTTAGCTCTTGATAAATGATTTGGGGAAGAAATGATTAAAACATGTGAATAAAATATGTTTTTTTATCTTGATATGCTAAAAGTGATGAGTGAAAATGTATTTTCAGTATAATGGATGAGTAAACGTGAACAGAGGGAGTGTTAGTTTGTTCAAGGAAAAACAAACTTCCCTGTGTGGTGTGCCTATACTTGTATATGGAAATGTATGCCTTTTGTTAACCAATATATACTTGTTTTGCCGTAAAAACGAAGTTGTTAGCTTGTGTGGATGAGGAGAACAAAGACTGTACGAGTGATTATACCTGAAAGAAGGATTAGCTTATCTTTATGGATGGCTTATGTTAATAGTTAATTTTTTCAGTGAGGAGGAAGCACGGATGAAGATTTATTCCGTCTCAACTAGACATTACTTTGCTTTTGGTGCCCTTGTATCTGAAGAGCTTTCTTATAAACTAAAAGGTAATGCAGTTGTTACACCCCAACCTTTTTTTTTCCTTTGGTCATTCATGATGGTGAGTAAATTGGTGGTAAGCCTAATCACTTGTTTGTTTTCATTCATGTCCAGAGCTGCCTAAGGTTCGTTGGGTGCTTCCTGATTCTTATCTCGATGTTAGAAATAAAGATTATGGAGGTAAGCGATTCCATGTTTTGTAGTCCTATCAGGTTGCTGTGTCAGCACTAGTTAAGCATTTTTGGACAGTTTATCTTGGATTATAAACTTGTCATGTGTGTCAAGTTAATATGTGGTGCATCAGCTAATCTTATAACTTTTTGTAATGCATGTTGCAGGGGAACCTTTTATCAATGGACAGGCTGTACCATATGACCCGAAATACCATGAGGAATGGGTGAGAAACAATGCTCGTGCTAATGAGAGAAACAGGCGCAATGACCGACCTCGTAATTTTGATAGGTCCAGAAACTTTGAGAGAAGAAGAGAGATGCAGAATCAACCCAGTCAGAACCCTGGATCTAACATGGCAGCAGGGGGGCCTCCCAACATGGGCGGCATGCAGCAACCTAACATGGGTGGAATGCACCAGCAGCAAGGCATGGGAGGGCCACCACCTCATGCAGGCGGGATGCACCAGCAGCAAGGCTATGGAGGGCCACCACCTCATGCAGGCGGTATGCAGCAGCCGGACATGAGAGGACCACCCATGCAGCAGCAAGGCTATGGAGGGCCACCACCTCATGCTGGCGGGATGCAGCAGCCGGACATGAGAGGGCCACCCATGCAGCAGCAAGGCTATGGAGGGCCACCACCTCATGCAGGCGGGATGCAGCAGCCGGACATGAGAGGGCCACCCCGTGGAGGTGGGATGCAGCAGCCGAATATGCCACCAAACATGGGTGGAGTGCCTCCCAATAACTACGGAATGCCAAACAACGCACGTAATTTCCAATACAATGGTGGTGGACAGAACAATGGAGACACGCCTTACCAAACAGGTCCAGGGCCAAACCAGAGCTACGCTCCTAATACATCTGATGGGAACTCCTATCAGAATCCAAACATGGCTGGTAGAGATATGTCCAATTCTAATTACCGATGAGCAGCTGTAGATACGTGTTTAGTTGTCAATGCTAGATGGTTTATCTTCACAAAGTAATGTCTTAATGGAGTTTTGATAGCACGTTGTCCTCATAATAGTTGGAAGTACGAATTTTACATATTGAGTTATGCAGTGCCAAAAATTATTGGGATTTCCTTTTATTTTTTTCCAGTGTTCATCATCATATTACAAGTTTTTTGGATTGCTAATAGGATTAATTTTTTAGCCTGCAATGGCATCGCTTTAGCTTGAATTGCACAATACATTTGTGCAGTGGAAGTATCAGCCACTGTAGTTGGTAGGGTTGGCAAATGGGATGTTTGAGCAGAAGTTGGTTGGTTCAAGATGGTCTTGAGTTTGCAGAACTAATGCTACACATTATATTTTCGAAAGTGGAGAAGCAGGAAAATTATATTTTCAATCACTAACTAGGCAGACAATATCTGGAACAACCACATTATATTTGCTGGCAAACCTGTAAGTTGGAATAAAAAATTGATTCTCTTAGAAATTGTTCCAGGGTAAGTAGTTTAGGGAACCAGGTTTTTTCCTCATCAATGATCATCATGTCGCATGTTCTCAAGTCAAATACAAGTCAATCTTCCCTCTTTTGGCATCATCGAGCAACAATATTTTTCATGTTGATAAACAACGAAAAACTGCTGAATGTAACACTGAAATGAGCTAGTTTCAACCTGAACTAATTCATCAGCAAATGTGACTACAGACAGATGGTTGACAATCCTTTTTTTTTTTTTGCATAACTTGAATATCACAAGCTGCTTTTTTCCTTTTCCCATTTCTTTTTCTACAGGTAGCTTATGGTATTCCTGAAATTGAAAATTCTAACATGCGGTTTCTCCATCATATGAGTGATGTCCAAGGACAAAAAGCTCCCAACGAAGACGGAGGCTAAGTTGTCCAGACATTCTCATATGCCAATGCAAGTAGCTAAATGATTGGAGAAAATACTTCTGTCATTTTGTTTCCACTGTGATGAATTTAGCCTCTGCAGATACTTCAATAGATTGAGAGTTGGAGGATGTAATACCAAAGGCTTTTTCATTCACATCCATTGTTCTCTTCTTGGCAGCACGAATCTGATCTGCAAGAGAAACTGTTTTTTGTACTTGAGGTCTCTTTATGAATGCTACATCGAGTTTCTCCCAAGCTTGTCGATGTTCTCTACAAACATGGCTAAGTGTGGACTTTTTCTTCTGAATCTGTCAGCACACAGGATATCGCATCAGTAATAACACAAAAAAGAAGGCACCAAGATGACAACATTTTAATTACAGAAGAACTGTGAACATAGAGGATATGGCATCACTTATAGAACACAATAATGCACCAAAATGACAACTTTTTAGCCGCATCCACATCTGGAATTCATTTTGGAATATTTTCTAGTTCGGTGCTAACTTGTACAGCAGTTGTGTTTCCTTTTTCCAGAGGGAATTGAGCAAAAAGTAGAAATTTTGATGTTGGAGAGACTATAATATGTGACTTCATTGTAGTAGCTACAGCATTTTCTTGGAATGGCCAAAGGAATAAAAATTGATCTATGGGATCATCTAGGTAAGAGTGCCAAATACAACCCATGCATATTTTACTCAGTGTTCAAGCAAGGTTTTGTTTAGTTCTGACCTTCACTAATTTCGCCTTGAGTTTCAATTCTTCAGCAACAGCTAACTCTTCTTTCTCTTGCTTTGACCGTCTTCTTGGTCTCTTCGTTTTTCCTTCAACTTTTTGCTTTTCTTCTCGTTCTTTTCTCCTTTGAACAAGTCTCTGCATCCTTTCCGTCTTTCTCTGTGCTGCTCTCTCAGCTCGTATGCGTGTGATTTCTTTTGCCTTGGCCTTTTCTGCAGCCAACTGAAGTCGTTCGAGAGCTATCTCTCTTTTGATCTTGTCGTAGCTGTCCCATTCTAATTCTTCTTGGTCGCTCCCACCTACCTTAGCAGCATTTGCAATGCTTTCAGCCCATGACTGAAAAAATTTCTCCCGTGACCTTTTCCATTTTAATCGTTCACCCCAGAGTTTTCTGAGAGATGCGCGTATTCGTAACTTGGTCTGATTGCTGCAAAAGAGAGTTATTATGAACTTCCAGTTTTATATGGAAAAGGTCTATTTTGCAAGTTATTATTTATGGTGAACTATTCATGCTGCAGTTAGAGTGATATCAAACCATTCCTATCCTTCAATAACAGAGTAAAGAGAGACTTTTGGCTATACTTGCAACTTCCTAGTGATCACAAAGGTTAGCACCGAAGGTCAAGACACCACACAATAGCATGCATCCTCTACTAAATTACTTCTAAAATTTCAAACCAGTGATTAAAGTTCTTAAAACAAATTTAAAAAGGGAGCAGAACTATTGTTTGGATTGATTTTAGACGTCATCACACAACCTATGCATAGGATGAACATGAAATTATGAAAGTAAATATCTAATGCCACAAACTTAGCAGTTTATGTGCGGCTTAGCAGGAGCAGGTTCTTCTTGCTGGTCAACTATGACTGGTTGTGCGCACAGTTTGAAACAGGGTGCAGGTCTGCTGAAAATTTGCCTCTTGACTTAGAGGGAGCTTTTAAAGCTCTTATATCTTGATATTCCTCTTTGCAAAATCATGTGGACAACATTTCAGCCTGATTTGTTCCTTGTGACCCCTCTTTCCTTTGGAAGATAACTTATGGTGGCAATGATTTTGTTGATACATTCTAGTAAATTAACGTTTCACAATGAGGAAACTAAACTTTCTTTTATAACCTGAAGTTTGACAGATGGGTTAGTATGATTTATTCAGATTGAGACAGTGAACCACTATTTAGTTATTCTGGTCAGAAATGACAGAGGAGGTGCTCCATCCAAAAATAAATAAATAAAGACAATAAGAGGAGGTCACAAAGCTCTGTAACCAGCTGAAATCGCTTAAATAGATATCTGATCAGCGAAAATGATTGTGGCTAGCCAGAAGCACATACAAAGCAAGAAGAACTGGGAGCTAGCAGTTGGAACTTTAAGCAAAATATTTTTACTTAACATAGCGCTTTCTTTGTTATCTCTCTATGCCAAGGGTATTCCCTTCTCTATGATGTAGTACTTTCTTCTCAACAGTATCTTTAGCTTGAACTTAGACAGATCGAGAGAGAATCAATTTACCAAAAAGCTGACACGTACCACAGACATATACAAACACATTCTTGTTGACTTAACTTAGGTGTCCCCTACTCATCTGTAACAATTCCTCGAGATTGTCCCAAATCCTAAAATTAAAGTTCTCATACAACCAAGCTAACTCTTGCACTTAACGAACCTAGTGAATGTTACTTTGGGCAAGAACTCTCATTACACATACCAAAATCCTAAGCTTTTCAGAGCGCTCGTAGACTAGCAGATGTGAATATCTTATCAACATGCAATGACGTATAGCTGTATAATTGCATACTTTTTCAAAATATAGCATAATAAAGACGAGAGCGAAAATACCTAAGAGAGCGTGGACATTCAGACATCTTTTGTCTTACCTGAAATAAGATAAAATATATTTTAGGAGAAAGAGAATGATATATATGTATCAGAGTGGTCAGTACATTATCATGCTACAATTGTAAGTTCCTATTTGTCAGAAGGAATGCTTTGAGGGAAAACAAAGGAAAAAGAGCAGTGGATTGTGGTCTTTCATGTGCAAGTCAAAACTTCAAAGCAAAACCAAAAGTATAAACAGTTGGACATTTTAAAAAATTGTGAACTAAACAAACTTTCTTTATCTAACAACAGCACATGCTTCATATCTATTTTAAAAGTAAACGCAACATGAAAGACTTCGTACAATTGATTCTTACATGACTTCACCTTGGGATCACGCAAAGCTTCTTTGGTTCTCTGTCTGATCTTCTCACGAGTCTCTGCAAGGTACTGCAAATAGTTAAACTACACAGATATATGTCGTATAATTAACATATCGCCATCCATATAAAGGCTACCTGGACTATGTTTTCTGCCTTTGTTCCATGGCACTTTTCCTCTGTTTGCTAATCCAATCTTTCTTCTTCTGTCTACTTCCTTTTCCTTACCATCCTTGCTGTTAAAACCCTTGTCCTTGTTGGAATAGTCCTCTTCTTGAAAGTCATTAGTTAAAACTTGCCCCTTGGACACATTATCACTTTGGCTTCTTGCATTACATCTCATTAGCTGCAACATCTCTGCCGAGCCATTTCTGGCATACACCAGTTTATATGAGCCTTCTCTTTCGGATGAAACAGCAAAGCCTGATAGGGAATATTTCTGAACCATAGATGCATGACAGATTAACTTTAATATGCTCAGCCTGCTTCGTGTATACTCAGCCGCACAGACTGAAGTTGGGGAGAGAAAAGTGCTATGTGTGGTATTGATAGGAAGGTGAGAAGGAGATAATTTCCTGAGGAATGAACAAATATACAGATCAGAGCTGCATCCATTTGATAAATAACACTAATTAAAATACATGCAACCCAAAGTCAAGCCTCCTACTATGCAGCCAAAAGCAATACATCCATTGCTCATTTCTGGCTAAACAACAGTTATTTCCATCAAGGCAACATGACACTGCTCTTAGTACAAATTGTTGTGCCAGAGGTTTGTTCGATTTCTACCCCAAAAAGCTATGCTACACATGAGTTGTCTCACCTTTTTGCGCGAAAAGTAGAATAGAATACCAAACCAGAAACTGAGTAATCAGTTGAACAATAATTGCTAAAACTAAAGAAGACCTTAACATTTAGAGTAAAGCTTAAGTAGAACTCAAGTGAACAGTCAGGATGTGATTCATAACGGTTTTGATTTCCAAGACAAAACCAAAGAAAGTATAAAATAAGAGAAGGAGAGGAGAGGAGAAACAATTAGACTACAAAAGTTGGCTCAGATATAGAAACTAAATCAAAAAGTGATGACTGCAAAAATGACAAAATTATATTACAAACCCAAGCAACAACATGACGAGTGTATCCCACAAATGGAGTCTGGGGGCATAATGTGTACACATACCTTACCCTTACCTTGGAAGATAGAGAAGTTGTTTCCAATAGACCCACGGCTCAACGAGAAAACATATTTTGTAATTTGTATTACAAGTCTAACTGGAAAATATCAAAGTGCATGTCTACCTCAGTTCTTGAACAGGACTTGTGGTACCTTTCATTTACAAATTTTTAACAGAGCTACTTTATGAACTTCATTTAAAGTAGTACTAAACATTTGGGAATTTCTCACCCGAAGGACCAAAGTACAAGTCACCCAACTCATCAAAAGATAGCTTCGCAAATATCAACAATCATCTTAACCCAAATCACCACCCCATACACCCAATGTCATGCATATCCCTTAACAATCAGTTTCAGGGTGGTCAAGGAATTTCCTATACATTTCATAAATAGGGGCTAAGCTGCCTCAATATGGCCATATTGCTCAAATTTTGTGAACTCTCACTGCTAGTTTCGGCTCAAATCTTGAGTTTATGTTTAAAAAATCACTCAATGTGTATAAATAGTTAATCAAGAACCAATAAGCTTCTTCTTTTTTAGAACTCACTACCCATAAACTCAAAAACCATAGCTCCGCCTCTATATAAGAAGCTCAATAAATGCATAACAACAAGATTAGAAATTTGACTTCATATCTAGCAAAAACAAATAGAAACATTCAAGGCCACTTCTTTAAAAGCTAAAAAAAAACAAAAAGAAAAAAAAACAGAAAGCTTTAATCTTTGTTCGAATTAAGTAAATGGGGTTTCTGAATTGCAATCAGATTTTTCGAGTAAGAGCTTACATGGAGAAGAAGATTGAGAGACGCATCAACCATACGTTTCAGATAACTGCTTCTCTTTATTATTTTGTTTCCCACAATTATGTAACTTAGCCTAGGTATAAATGAATGGAACCAATGAATATTATTTACCTTTTTTTCGAAATATTATTTCACTTCATTTGAAAAATAATATTGGATAATCAAAACCTTTTTTTTAAAAAAAATAAATTATTATGCTTTTATAATAACTTTAAACTTTAATTTTCATAAAATAATCTCATTTGAAATTGATTTTGAAATAAAATAAATATTTTAAAAAAAATATGCCCAATCATTTTTTAAGTGCAGTAATGAAATTTTACAAGTGGGGTCTGAGCAGAGTAGAATGTACGCATACCTTGTCACAAATATCTGTGAAGGTAGAGAACTGTTTCCAGAAGACTCAACAAATCTACTTACAAAGTAGCAAGAGACAGTGAAATAAATTTAGCAGGTAACAATGAAACATTATAAGGTCTACCAAAATAAAACGAAAACAACAATAACAAAATGAGAACGCAATCAACAACATATTAGGATAGACTATCGAATATAATAATAAACAATAAAACTAGTTAACGACAAAACACTAATAAGTAATATTAATAAATATAAAAGAGCAAGAGCTACACTAATATAACAAGTAAAATATTTCACATTATACTACATGTTAACCTTCTCCTGTTATACATATCCTTCACATGCCTATTTAAGATTTTGTCCTCAGTAATCAAAGTTGCATTATATCTGGTCTTAATACATTTCTCTAATATCTCTTCGGCCTGCTTTTGTCAATCCTCATAATCATCCAAAAGTTGACAAGAGAGGATTTCAAAAGATAAATACCTTCCATTTTCAACTCAAAGACTATATGTTCAACTTGAAGCAAAAAGAATGAAAATCACTTGGACGAATAGCTCCTAATATTGCATCTTTTTTGAGATCGAAACCTTTTATCAGAGCTTTTGCTTGTTGCATATCCTGATCCACTACCATATATACAGATAACAATAACTGCTGCAATTTGAGCAACAAACATTGCTCCTCTTCTGTACTTTTAGATTCAGAATTATCAAGCGGATCAAAAAGTTACTTGACCTCATACATTTGTAACAATAACAATGATACTATTGAAACTTTTTTTGAATATGAATAATTTTCTCTGACATTCTATGTACCTTTGTGTGGAACCAATATATTTATTTCTAACACAAACTAATTACTAATATAACTTTTACTACATTTTATCATCTTAGAAATATGAATTGAGATACATGAATATATCTTTGGATTCAGAAGAAACCAGAGGATCAAGAAACTATTCGACCTCATACATCTGTTACTGCAATAATGATATTATTGAAGCTTGCTTGTACATGAATGACTTTCTTACATACATCTTCCCGTGAATCAATATATCTACTTCAATACAAACTAAATATTGATATAGCTTTTATTATATTCATCATCTCAAAAATATAATTTAAGATACATGGATTTATCATCTTAAATATCTCTGAAATTCAGAAGTACCAAAACAGAGAATCAAAAACCTACTCGACTTCATACATCTTAATTATAACAATGACTTTATTAAAACTTACTTGAATTTAGAAGTACTAAACAATCTACATATATTTTTATCCTAATCAATACATCCATTTCTAACACGAACGAATTTTCAATATAACTTTTACCATATTTTATCATCTCGTAAATATGAACCAGATATACATGAACATATCTTTTGAAGATTTGGTTGTTAGCATTGGGCTATCATAAAAGCCCAAAACCGAACCCATATCATCTCAAATATATATAGTGTTGCACTTGCTCAGAGAATTGGGATTTAGGGTTTTAAACTCCATTGTTCGGTAGAGTTTTTGAGCTCCAGAAAATGGACCAGATGAAGAAGAGGAAGCTTGAGGACAACGGCGTCGGCACTGACGTTCCTGTTGCGAATAGGCTTTCGATCGAAGATGGTCGGAAGATTCTTGAATCTGTTACACCTGAACAAATGGTAGAAATCTTACAAAATGCTGTCGTTCGTCATCCCGACGTGCTTGATCAAGTTCGAGAAATCGTCGATCGTGACCCTACTAAAAGAAAGCTTTTTGTTCGTGGGCTTGGCTGGGAAACTACGACTGAAAAAATCAGGTCAATTTTTGGGACATTCGGTGAGTTAGAAGAAGCTGTTGTTATTCTTGATAAAAATACTGGGAAGAGCAAAGGTTATGGATTTGTTACGTTTAAGCATGTTGATGGAGCTTTACTTGCGTTAAAGCAACCGAGTAAACACGTTGATGGCCGAGTTACGGTTACTCAGCTTGCTTCAGCTGGGATTCAAGGTGGCCCTGGTGGTGGGAGTTCGAATAATCCAGTGGATGTGTCGTTGAGGAAGATTTATGTATCTAATGTGCCGTATGATATGCAATCCGAGAGGATTTTACAGCATTTTTTGATGTATGGGGAGATAGAGGAAGGACCGTTAGGGTTTGATAAGGCCACTGGGAAGTCAAAAGGGTATGCTTTGTTTGTGTACAAGACGGCGGAGGCAGCACAGTCTTCGTTGGTGGATCCTGTTAAGAATATTGATGGGCATCAATTGAACTGTAAGCTGGCTATTGATGGGAAGAAAAAGCCTGGTGTAGGAGGTCCAGGAGGAGCTCAGGTTCAAACAGATGGACATGGTGATCCGATGGGTCCTGGGCAATATGGTGCGCCTAGTGGTTATGGTGGATTTTCAGGTCATTCTTCATATGGCGGGCATGGACATGGTCCCAATTCGGCATTGGGTAGTGGAAATGGTATCGGTGTGGGTGGTCCTGGTGGTTCATCTTATGGGAACCAATCTGTGGGTGGTGGGTACGGTTCAGGGATTGGTGGTCCATATGGTGGGGGGTCTCATTATGGTGGAGCTGGTTCAGCTGGATATGGCGGGTTGACCGGTAGTGGTTATGGCGGTGCTGGGGCAGTGGGAGGTGCTGCTGGTGGATTACCTGGCGCTGGTAGTACATTAGGTGGTGCTGGCCGTGGATCTTCAATGTATGGGTTACCCCCAAGCTCAGCCGGGATGCCCTCGGGAGATTATCCACCACAGGGTTCTCATTACGGTCCTTTACATCAACCTCACGGGCTACAAAACCAAGGCCCTGGGGCATCAGCTGCACCTAGAGTTGCACCTGGGGGTATGTACCAGGGGATGCATTCATATTACTGAGGTAAATTTCTTCCTCTCCATTTTCAGGTGATTATTGTTATTGGTGGTTGGTGCTCTGTGGTGCTCTCAGATTCGGTTGATCTTGGACTTCTGGTCACTTCTGTTAGTTGCTCTAGTTGTCAGTCCCGTGTTCTTTTGGCATCAGTATGCTTTAGATTCTGCCTGTAGAATATTCTTGCTTGAAAATGTTGTGTGTAGGCTTGATTGGAATGATAAACATTTTTGTGACGTGCTTGTAAAGTAGGCTTAATTTTTAATGAGTTTTGAACGTGCTTGCTGATTCTATGATATGGTTGGTGGAATGTGCTTGCTGATTCTATGATATGGTATGAGCTTTACTAGGTAAGACGAGGTGTGATAAAACGACAAAAACTAGAGGAAGGCAAAAACCTCTAAAAAAAAGGTTCCCTTAATGTAGTTAATTGAATTTGTTTTGTGGCAGTATGGTTGATTCACATATATTTGGGCTTTTTGTGTTCTTGAAATTTGTTGAATGCGTCTTAATCAATGTATGTAGATTTTAGAGTGACATTTTGCATTAGGTTAAGGAGCATACACCATTGAACAAACTTTTGTAAATGAAAGTTTATTTGTCTTTTCCCTTTCTTTATTTTTGTGTTATTTATGTGACCTGAATGTTAATTTATTATCTTTTGTTACCTTGAAATTTTGCTTGGAGAACAACAACCAAGAATCCAAGCAATGGGATATTGTCCAAGATCATCTCTTTATTTTTTCTCCGTCTCCGCTTCAATTATCTCGATTGATTAGATTTTGGTTGTGATGATTGTCTGTCACCGTATCTTTCAATGCGTTGTTATCAATTCAAGCTTGATTAGATTGATTTTTGTTGTTCTTCTTACAGATAGTGATTGTGTTGATTGATATTGTCTGTCTTTTGATGGATTGTTCTTAATCCCGGATTGATTAGATTGATTTTCTCTGTTTTTGTACGGTCCTTCTGCATTGCTGTAAAGGTTTTAATTACTGTTATGTTCCTTTCTTTTGAATTCGCTTGAAGATTTGTATTGTTTCTGGATGTAGAATGATCTATTGAGTTGTGAATGGATGTTTGATTCAGGTGTTTTGACAGCTTGGTGCAGCTGCTTTTAGTGGTTCTGGATGAATGCAGATGTTTTTAAGTCTGGTTTGATGATTTTGATTGCTATCTACTTTGGCTTCTGCATTTGCACCCTTTACTGATGTCCTTCTACATTGTGGTAGTCAAGCGGTTACTTTCTTCAAGAGACCTTGTGCTTTTTGGAGTTCTAGTTGGAGTTTGTGTTTGGATATAAATATAGTAATGTTTCGTACGCTTTTGAGCCTTAGAAACGATCTGCTGTATTGGAACAACTTTTAGATTGCTGTTGAAGTTGCTGAAATTAGTTTCTTATGGTATTTGGAAGACCTCCGTTTCTTTACATTTAAATTGTCTGAATCTAGAATTCTTCTTCTTTGTGCCTTTTTCTTTTGCCAACGACTTCATTCTTTTGGATGATGAAGAAGCATTACTTTTATGTGTGCCCAATTGTCTGCGTAGTTGTTCAATATATGTTCGTCAATTATCTTTGAGATTTGAGAGGACGATTTGGAAGAATGAGTTTGTGAACTGGATGGGAGTGCTGTTTGATTCCCTCATTTTGCATATTATTAGAGTCTCCCAAAGGTGTGGTTGGCTAAATTGTATTTCACTTGTTGGTTGCTTGGCTATTTGAGGATGTGAATAACCCTTGTGATGGCTTATAGAAGTCAAGCTACAAGACCTGTCTAAAGTTGATTTTTGGTGCAATCTTGCTGAAGATACTTTTATTTAGGATACATCTATTATTGAAAGTGATTTTTTTTTGGTAATGTGACGTTGTTATTGATGTAAATGAGGGCTTCACTTGTATATAAGCAACATACAAAATGGAGAAGTTCATACAAAAGTATAACTACTTAGTGATCACGCTTGTAATCTATAAGTACTGGATTCTTTTTGGAATTTAATGAGTTGAAAAAGATGATATTTTAATTGTCATTGCAATATAACACGATCATCTAATATGTGCAAGTGAGTTTTAATCCTTTTATTAGGTTTGATTGCTCTCTTAGAACAGGATACCTGAGTGCTAGAGGAGCCATGTTCCAATAGTTACTTTTCCTTTTTCTTCCTATAGTCCAGCTTAAAGTGAAATTGACATTTTCCCACCAATTCTCCTGGTATCACCCATGAATTCCAAAAAGATTCATACTGTTCTATCTGACAGTACAACAACAACAAACCCAATGCAACTCCACAAAGTATGGGATTGGGGAGGGTAGAATGTACACAAAACTTACCATTACCCTAGAGGTAGAGAGGCTGTTTCCGCCAGACCCTCCACTTAAGAAAACAATCCAAAGTAGAATATGGAAAAATAACGTAAATGAAGACAATCATGACAAAAAACTTAAGACAACCTGACAAATCATCCTGAATAATAGTCATAACAAGCTGCATAATAGAAGTGTAAAAAATCAACTATTCATAACCAAATTGAAAGGACAAAGAAATTACACAAGTCATGAGTAATATTACTAATGGGACTTCAAGAGTAAAGAGGCATAAGCGAGACAATTCCCAATGGACTGTCTAACCTCCTATCCTAACATGTGACCACCCTAACCTCTCTTGACCCTTGGTTTATATAACATGGGCTAGCACAACATAATATTCTAGTGTAGGCTCTCTTCTTTTGGTATATGGTTTGTATATATTAAGTTCTCCTTCAAATTATTTAGCTTATAATCAAAAGAAAACATGAGTTATTTTTCCTTTTTCTCAAATTTCTCCGTTGTAAGGATGGTTTCCACACTGCACGCTAAGCAAATAATGTATAGAGTCATTCCTCCATCCTTCAATTTTTTAAGGTATCCTAGTCTGTCAATCTATGTTGCTTGAATCCTTTGAAAATGTAGCTGAGTGTATGTCAGATCTTATAACAGTTCACAATATGACCTGAAGAACTTGATAAAGAAAATTAAGAATTCAAAAGAAATTGCCGAAACTTGAACTAAAATTTAAAAATGAAAAAGAACTGAAAATAAAGTAAGAACCAATTCAAGGATGTGTTTCTTGAATTAAGTAATGGTTCAAACAATTCAAGAAGTGATCTAGAATTTCAAGACAAACATTCACAACAACAATTAGCCCTTGGTAGAGAATGATTGCAAGCATTAGATTATAGATCCCCAACCTTTTTTAGAGTGACAAAGACAATTATAAGACAAGACTTTCTCTCCTTCTTTAACCACCTAAAAGTAACCCTACGATTTGAAGAGAGTGATAGCATTCTAGGAAGCACAACTCTAATTAAAGACAAGGATGAAGCTTTGGAAGCTCCAAGAAGCCTATTAACAAGATCTCAAGCTAAAAGAGTTGCCAGACGTTCTTCTTTTGAACAAAAACAACTGTGGCCAAAACATATAAAGATGTGTTAGTGCCTCGTATGAATATAGTTGAACAGAGATGAAAAGAGGTATAATGATTCATAGTCTAGTGTGGAACGGGCTCTTGCTCAAAGGATCGAAGAGATGTTGGGGATGATATAGAACTCTGGGAAGAGCTCTTATGAGTGGTTCTACAATTGGATGTTGTTTATCACATCTTGCGGTTGAATATATCTAGTTTTTTTCATCTTTAGGCTGAATCTCAAGAATTTAGGTCGTAGGAGTCAAACCTGTCCTTTAGTTGGGTATCAATTTTTTTTTTCCAGAGTGGTGGCATCGGAAGGACCAAGTGAAGGAAGTCTTAAATTTTCGTTAGTAAATTTGCTTAAAACTACAGTTTAATTTATTCACACCCACTACAGATCATCTCATTTTGCTTTTGCAGGTTTGTTTTATATAATTTTGACATGTAGTACTCTACTTTGCATTTAGTAGACTGACACAGTTAGAGTGGGTGGGAATTGGGACGAGATGGTGATTTAGCTTAGTTTCTCACTTTCTCTCCCAGATACTAGTTTTCCTTTTCTTTTGTGGGGGAAGAAGTGTTTTTTCAACATCCTTAATTACATTTTGAAGATGTGAAAATTGGTGATTTTGTATTGAACTTACATGCATATTGAAATGGAAGTGTTTCTTGGTTGATAAGTTAAAACCCTCTTATCATTATTTGTAGGTGTGAGAAATGGTGATATTTGATTAAAAATCTGCATATTGGGATATTGAGTGTTTCTAAATAATTTTGAATTTCAATTTTTATATGAATGGACCCAACTTGTTTGCGAGTAAGTTATTGTCCACGCTGGATTGGTATAAATTTGCACTGAGACGTGCCACTACTAAAGATTTTACATTGTCATGAGTTTGTCTCAAGTTGCCATTATAACTTGTTTTAGATCGTCTTTCATAATTCTCCCTTTTTTAGGTGAAAATTATTATTGTCAGATGCATCTATTGTGTGCAGTTATAACTATAGGTGTTCCCTAACATTGAAAATGTGGATGCTATGCTACAACTGATTGTTTGTCGAGTACCTAAATTTCATAAGTTTGTTTGCGGTTTCTGGGTAAGTTGTGCGTACGCTCTACCCTTCCCAGACTTCACTTGGTATGTTGTTTTTAGCGATTTCGGTTTATATAAGGTGAAATAATCAGACCTTATCTCAAAGTCCATCCAGCTTTTGTTGCAAACTTTTTATGTGTGTTTCCCGAAATTGAGCCAGTTATGAGCTTGGCTGTCTCTGGCTTTCACCTAGCCTTGTCAATGTTTTGGTTTATATCATCAAGAGTTGTATGGGATTTTAATTGCTGTGGTGTGTGGTTTAGGATGTCCGTAGATACAGTGCATCATTTGCTAATTATATTCATCACTGTAGTCTTCTCATTCAAAGGGTCATTGACTCGTGTATGTGAAGGAAAATCTTGTATTGGGTGAGTAATCTCGACGTTTTCAGTACTCGGCAGTGGATATTCTTTCTGTCGACTGCACTGGGTATTGATCATTTTTCTGGTTTTGTTCCTACCACACCCACATTTTGCAAGTCGAAAGTGGTCAGACCTGTTGGTGATTTTTTTTTAATCTACTATATGTCAGTAGGTATTAGTTTTGTTCAACGAAACAATGCTACACGTTCTTGAAAGCTTTTCCTTGAAATCCTCTTCTTGTTTTGGAGCCGTTTGTTTCTATGATGTGTAGTTTTTCAGTGCGCGAGTTTCTCCTATCGCGGCATTGATTTGACGCAGTAAGTAGCTCAACTGCAAGACTATTATGCATCAGAAACTGGAAGAAAGACGGATCAATCGAAAATTGATTGCTCTGATCATTGGACATCATGTTCTCCATAATTGTATATCGAATGATAGTAGTAGCTAAGAGTCGTGTAACCCACTTAAGCTTACATGGAACTTTGATGTACTAAGATATTTGTAAATTATAGTTTTATCTCATTTCAATTCTATTGTTTTTTGCTTGTTTTGTTAATAGAACTAAATTATTTTCTAATGTTTCATAATCTAACCTTTTATGTCCATGATCCTTTTGAAGTTGAGTGATATAATAGGTAAATATGACCTTTAACTTGGTGTCAACTAACAATTATAACCCTTAAATTTAAATGTGCACAAGTAGATATTTAAATTTTTGTAAAATTGAATAAGTAGGATGAATATGTCAATTTGTTTAATTTTATACAAGTTTAAGTGTTGTGAACATTTAAAGTTAAAGGTCATGTTGTCAACTAACGCCTAAGTTTTTTATGTCCCACTTTTTAATACGCTTTAAGTTTCATTAGAGTACTACTCAAATTGTGAGTCCGGAGCTTAAAGAGTGTAAAATATTGACAAAAGTTTTAAAACGGTATATAAAATTTTATATTAATCAAAATGACAAGATCGCTGGAACAATAGCGATTTTCTCCGTCAAAATAAGCAAAATCACTACAGTAGTAGCGATTTGCTGCAAAATGTGATTTTTTTCAAGAAAAATATTCAAATGAAGACGATTTTTATATTTTTTTTAAAATAATAATTGCTCCCTAAATTTTTATTTTTTTTTAAAAAAAAAATGAAATTGCTGCTTAGGCAGCTATTTTCATGAAACTTTTTTTTAAAAAAAATCACATTTTGCAAAATCGCTGCAGTAGCGTTTTCGGCGGAAGAAGTTGCTGTTGTTTCAGCGATTTTTACCGTTTTGGTTATATAAAATTTTATATATCGTTTTAGAATTTTTGTTAATATTTTATATCCTTTAAGATCCGGACTCCTCAAATTGTTCTATTATTATTTCGAAAAGATCTCTACACCGCCGATAAAAATAAAAGAATGGTAAGAAACAAAAAAAGATCATGTACTAAACCAATTTTTTTCAATCAATGATTACGGTAATCTTGCAGTAAAATTGCATACAATAACTGATTCCAAGTATCAGGTACTCCTGGTAAGCACCAATGAATACAATCAGCATATGTCTTTGGCTCTGATCTTTCTTCTTTAGTCAATAATTTACCTCTCCTTTCACCAAAAACTGAAGTGTGGCCATCTTTTCTGTACTCAGACAACTGAGTAATATTCAGCAAACGCACATCAACTTCCAGTTTCTCAATTACATCTTTCAAAATCGCCATGATTTCAAGATTTGAACCTGTTCCCCAGTAGGGTCCTTCTATTGGTTGCGTCTCGTTAAAACAGTTCCCATCAATCCCACCTTTCCATTCCCAGTTCCTGCAGAATGACATAGAGATGTCAACGCGTATCCCTGCTCTGATACCACGTAAAATATGAGTATAGTCTCACCATAAATGTGTTGGGGACATTGTCGCGAAGAAAACCTTTTGCCTTTGAGGATTAATATTCGACTCTATCCATCTTCCCCAGGTTTCCAACGCCAATTTATATGCTGTTGTTACGTTATATTCTTGAACGTTTTCAGTAGATCCGTATCTGCAGAAACAGAACAGATCATGAGCTACAATATTAGCTCATTCTGCTGTAATGAACTTAGGGGTCGTTTGATAGAGTGTATAATAATGGAATAGTTACGTTGCATTAATGAAAGGTTTATGCATCCACCACACATAGCTTTCAAAAACCAAAACATCAACTCCTTCCCAGAGTTTGCGATGCTTCTCTACAGAGTCAAGCTTAACTAGCCGCTTCATTACAGTATGATTAGTTGCATGATCTGATATAGATTCAACCATGAAAGGAGCCCAGTAATACTCAATCGACGCGTTAAACTCCTACAACAGAAAAACAACGATTTATGTACACATAAGTTCAAGTGAAATGTAAATTCCATTAGTACCTCAATTCTGAAAATCTTTCTGGGAGGAACTCTTTCAATGGGATGATCAACATCCGCGATTACTGAATGAACAAGACAAACCATTGACTCAAACATGCCTCTCTGTATAGAGTCTCCGATAAACATGATCCTTTTATCTCTCAACATCTCCAGCATTTTCAAAGGATTGAACCTGATCAAACAAACATTTTTTACAAACACAATCCGCGAGTAAAAATATAAGATTAATATTCATCATTCAACTTTTTTACCTTGGTAAGTTGCAACCATGAGGCTGCCATCTCCAATTCTGATAAAAAGAATCAGGTCTTCCATTTCTTTGACAAGTAACTTGTTTAACTAAATAAGGACAAGTTTCTTCTTTATAAAGTGGATATGTTACATTGTCCCAAACCCATTTTCCTTCAAATACATTGCAATTTTCTTCAATGATTTCATTTTCTGAAACATTTATTGGTACCCTAAGAAACTTATTTTGCCGTAGAATTTGGATTTGGTTATTTTTCAAGTTATCTAGTAAAAATCTAAGAGTTCCAAGAAGAAAAAGAGAGATTAATGCAAGAGGAAAAAGGAAAAAGATTTTACGATCTTGTGGGGGTTGGGTTGTCATATTGGTGGGAGTAGAATTAAGATTAAGCATAGTGTAAAATAGGATGAAATAAATGCCTTGTAATTTAAGCATAGTTTGAATGCAACTACTAGTTGGTGAATGGTGATATAGTGAGTTAGGTACATCAAGAGCCTTAAATATATATATATTTAAATAGGTATACGTTAGTGTAAAAAGATCATTCATAGTAAATGATATCTATAGGTAAGTGTAGGCATAAATATCGAAAAATCGAATCGAATCGAATCGAATTGAATTATTTTGATTCTTTGGTTTGGTGTTGGTTCTTTATTTTTGGAACTTCCATTTTTCTGTTCGGAGTTCGGTGTAAGGATTTCGAAACTAAGGTGCATCGAAGAATCGAAGTTTTATGAAAAGTGTAAAAATATTTAATTATATTGCTTAATTAATAATATTTTTATATCTTTTAGAAAAAAAAAATTTACATGATCCATTTAAACTTTTTACTTCCGCTAGCCTTTTACGACAAAAAATTGTTTTACTGATATAACATTATGATGACAATTAAGTCTGGAACTATTGCTGTAGCAAATCTTTGTTAGCTTAGCAACTAGCAAACACTTGTTAGCTTTTGATTATGTACCTTCTCATACATTGTGAGTCCTTATATTTGCTCTCTACTTTATTCATTCATGTATGGGAGAAAATAAATATAATCTCGCATATTTACCTTCTTTTTATTTTTAGTAAGCACATGAAACTATTAACACTTTATCATATTTTCACTTTATTTTTATTCACATCGAAAAATCAATTTAAAAACTGAATCAAAGTAGAAAAAATCAAACTCAACCAATCTTAGTTTGGTAAAAATATGATGCACACTTTTCTAAAATTAAATACCAAAAAATCAAATCAAAATTTGATTAAACCAAAACGAAGCGAAGAAACAAACACCCGCACTAGGTAAGTCTCCTTAATGCGAGATTTGAAATCTTAAAATAAGATAAGCTACTCATAACTCATAGATTCTTTTCTCCATCAAAACTACATGACAATTATGCTCATAACTGGACTTGTTGAAGAGATAATATATAACCACGATATCTGTTCTTATTTAAATGCCATTGATCATCACTATAAAACACATTTAAGTAGTAAAGAATTAATACACGTAGAATAAAAAATAACATGTTAAATGTCAAATAAGACACGTGTGTCTATTTATGCACACGAAAAGTTGAAGGACATATTCATGTATTATATGGAGGTAAGTTATTTCTCATCTTGATAAAATAGGTAAAATGATCAAGTAAAATAAACTATCTATATTGGAAAATGAATAGTATTTAAGAATAGACATAATACATAAACATAAACCTTAACTTGACTTTAACGGATAACTATACCCTCCAACTTTGAGTGTGCACAAGTAGACACTTAAACTTATATAAAATTGAATAAGAAGATACATGTAATAAGAAGATACATGTGTCATACATGACAAAATACACATAGAACGCCACGTAGCATACAAAATTGTCATGTATGGTATCATTTAGGATGAATGTGTTTATTTGTCGAATTTTGTATAAGTGTAAGTATCTACACCCAAAGTTAAAAGGTCATATTGCCAATTGAAGCCAAGTTAAGAGTCATCTTTATTTATCATGATTTATGAATATATATATATATATATATATATATATATATATTGCCTCATTACATACAGTGAAGAGTGTTATTCGTTTTGAATAAAATCACAAATTTAACAAGTTTTAATCACGAGAGAAGTAAAATTAAAAGTTCAATTACCTCTCCACCACCAATTCAATCAAGGGCCAAGCTACCCTTTGCCAATGGATGTCAAGCGACACCTCCTCCTTGAAAAATTACGTTATATATAAATATCAAATTTTAGTTTTATAAATATATATCAAATATAAATATTTCTTGGTGTATGTTATTAGTCTAGTGATAAAAATAATCATAAATGTTATATGATGTCACATGTTTAAAATCTATAGCCTCATAATTACTTTTTACTATAATCATTGATATTCTTTACGTCACTGACTTTAACCATCCACATCTCTACTGTCACTACATTTTCACGTTATGATATTTTTTTTTATCAATAACCACATTAAATAAGCGTGATTTCATAAGTGAATTTTGAAAATAATAAATTATACAAATTTAACTATTATATTCTAAGATAGAGGCACTATTTCTAAGTTATACATGAATATTTTAAAAATATTATATTTATTTATCAGATATATAATCCAAATATATTTAACATCTTATTTGATAGGCAATTCCAAAGGAAGCAAGTCAATACGAGATTGAGAAGCTAAGTATTATTTGGTACTAATATGGTGTGCAATTATTTGGCAATTAGCATTGTTGGGATTAGTTGGAGTGATATTTTATTCTTTCATCTTTACTTTCAGGAATAATAGGTGCCTTTTTACTTCCTGTTATTGAAATATTAGCTATAGTTTTATTTCATGAAAAATTTCATATATGATCATTTAAATTTTATCGCATTGTATCAAAATAATTAAAGTATTTTGTAACAAATCAGTTATAATTATTATTAACTTTAAATCAGTTAATAATGAGACCATGAAAGTGAAAGAATATCAAGTGGACAATTTAGATGGACTTTCAACCAAAATCAATTCAACAATTTCAAATTTATATTTTATAAATAAAAAGTCACCATTTTAAATTTATACAAGTTAAGATAAATTATACTCGATATAAAAAGATTATATATAACACGTGAAAGAATTATATTAACGAATAACTAATTAGTACTATTGCTAATTTATTATGTTAGTGAATCTTTGTTGCACTTCATGCTCAGTTGAGTGATCATTAATACCGTCCAAACCTTCAATATAATCAATCAATTTATATGTTAACAATCTACTAACACCAGTAAAACAACTAGTATCGGGTAACCATCCTGTTAATTCAAATATCATTTCTTGTCTACCTATAATCTCTAAAGAATCAGCCCCATTTAAAATTATAGGACTACCATCTACTACCATTCCGAATAAAATTTCAACATCTTGTAAAGTTATGGTAGCCTCGCCAGTTCGCATGAAAAGTATGTGTTTCTGGACGCCACCTTTCAATTAAAGTAGAAATTAATCCGGAGTCATACGACACACATCCTACATCAAGAAATCCTTTAAATCTACAATTTGCAAAATATTGACGGATGCGAGAATGTAATGGATGATATTTTATATGTTGCCAAAATTCAATATCACCACGATGCGTATATAAGCAAGACCTCTCTTCTTTTATGCTACCATTCCAAATTCCTTCGGAACAATGATGAACTTGAGTTTTTAGTACATCATGCTCTACTAAATCAGGATGTACGTATACATTTGACGGATGCATATCTATACACAAAAAATAAAAAAATATTAACATTAATATAAGTATCAAAAGATTGAATATATCCACAATATCATATAAAAATATAAAATTAGTTAAATAAATTAAAATAAAATAAATTCAAACTCACCTTACGAAGAAAAGACTTTTAAAAACTTTAAAAAATTAGAAAAACAGAAAGGCTTTTAGAAATGTTGGAAAATTGAAAATTACAATGCAATTTGAATGAGCAATTCAATCAATTTATAACAAAGTAAAAGTGTAATATTCTGAGTTGACACTATTTGCACGTGAATTGTATTCAATCAATTTATAATAAAACAAAAACTACACTATTTGCATGTGAATTACAATTCATAACAAAATAAAAATTACACTATTTGTATGTGAATTGACACAATTTTTTTATAAATGCATGTGAATTTTTTAAAAAAATTTGAATATATATATATATATATATATATATATATATATATATATATATATATATATATATATGTATATATATATATAAAGGAAATCGCTGCATATAATATCTTTTTTTAAAAAGAAAATATTTTTGTTACCTTACTTATTATTATTATTTTTAAATAATGCATATTTTCTTATAAGCTATATATTTAAATTTAAAAAAATATTAGAATTTTTTTTTAATAAAATCGCTGCTTTTAATTTTTTTTTGAAAATATATGCCTAGGAAGCGGTTTCCATATTTAATTTTTTTAAGGCAGTGATTTTCATATTTTTTTTTTTTTATAAAATCGCTACCTAGGCAGCGATCTAATTTTTTTTTAAAAATCGCTGCCTAGGCAGTGATTTCCATATTTTATTTTATTTTTATAAAATCGCTGCCTAGGCAGTGATTTAAATTTTATTTTTTTAGAAATCGCTGCCTAGGCAGCGATTTCCATATTTCATTTTTTTTAAAAAAAATAAAAATTGTTGCCTAGGTAGCGATTTCAATTTTTTTTAAAAAAATAACATCTTGCAAAATCGCTGCAGTGGCAACGATTTTGTTTTTTTTGGTGGAGAAAATCGCTGTTGTTCCAGCGATTTTGCCGTTTTGGTTAATATAAAATTATATATATACCGTTTTGAAATTTTTGTTAATATTTTGTATCCTTTAGGCTTCGAACTCTCAAAATCACACTTAATAACCTAAGATTTGAACTTTTGAATCGCTTGCCCCATTACATATAGTGAAGAGTGTCACTTATGTGTTTTGAATAAAACTATAAATTTAACAAGTTTTAATCACGAGAGAAGTAAAATTAAAAGTTCAATTACCTCTCCACCACCAATTCAATCAGGGGCCAAGCTACCCTTTGCCGATGGGTATCAAGCGGCACCTCCTCCTTGAAAAATTACATTATATATAAATATCAAATTTTGGTTTTATAAATATATATACAAATATAAATATTTTTTGGTACATTTTATTAGTCTAGTGATAAAAAAATCATAAATGTTATATGGCATCACGTGTTCAAAATCTATAGCCTCATAATTACTTGTTACTACAACCATTGACATTCCTTATGTCACTGACTATAATCATCCACATCTCTACTATCACTACACTTTCACCTCATGATATTTTTTTTTATCAATAACAACAATATATTAAG